CCCAGTGCCTTGCCTCGGCATGGCGGGGTCAGATCAGGCGCAATTCCCACACTGTGTCCCTGGTGTTGTCCCCCGCAGGGCCATGGGCCAGTGAGGGGCATCTTGTCTCATAGTGGGGCTGGCCATGTGGTCCTCTCTGTGGACTGGCTGCTCTATTTGGCCTAGTGGGCCAGGATGTGCTCTAGTCTTGAAGAGGCTTTTTTTAAAAAATTATTTTATTGGGGGCTCATACAACTCATCACAATCCATCCATCCATCCATTGTATGTCAAGCACATTTGTACATTTGTTGCCCTCATCATTCCCAAAACATTTGCTTTCTATTTAAGCTCTTAATATCAGCTCCTCATCTGCCCCCCCCCATATGAAGAGATGTTTAAAACTACTAAATATGGATTGCTTTCTATCTTTTTCCAACCATTGGTAAGAATTGCAACAAACTCATAAAAATCTCTATTGAACAAGAATATCAAAATTGAAGCTATTTTTTATTTATTTACAAATCCTTCATTTAGGTCTGTACATTTCTGAAAGCCATGTTTCCAGTTTCTAATCCTTAATCCTTTCTCAAAGAATTCTGTACTTCAACTTAAACCAAATTCAAAATGGGAATTTCAGCATCCTTAAGGGACTGTATTCCTTTTAAATATTCTTTAAGATCTGGAAACCAAAGAGAAGTCTGAAGGGACAAGATCAGGCTCTCAGCCGAGAAAAGAGCGAAGAGTGAGCAGGTGCACTGTCATGATACAAACAACATTCCGTTAAATTTTCCAGGCCTTTTTTTTTTTTCCTTCAATGCAGTTCTTAGAATGACTTCATAATAAGGCCCTGTGATTAACCTATGTCCTTTAAGATTTAGTGGGATTTTACCCATTTGATTTGGAATCCCCCCAAACAGTCACCATAACCTTTTGAGAATGACCTCTTGCTCAGAAGATCCCCTCAGATCTACTTTGATTGTACCTTTTGGGGCTGCGGGGGTAGATGCCCTCAGAAGACCAACAACTATCAACCCACTGCCATTGAGTCGGTGCTAACTACTCCTGGTGACCCTGGAAGACCAGGGTCCAACCGCCTTGGGGGTTTCCGTGCCTGTATGGCCTCGTCTTTCTACTCTGGAGCTTACTCTGTGGACCCACTGGGGGTTTCAGCCCAACACATAACCTAACAAGACTGAGACAGTTGTATTCCTGAGAGAGTTTGGCTGCAGCCCACCCCTGATTTCAGAGACATATTTAAACATATTTTTGGGGGAATAACCCCCCATGCAGGTCTGAACTGGAACCCTGGTAGCAATTCTTTTTGGCTGCTTGTTGTCTTTTATAATACCATGGTGTGAGGCAAATCACTCCTTACTTGACTATTAATCAAAAGATGACAGTTTGAAATTCCCCACCCCACTCCAAGAGGTACCTGAAAGTCACATAGCTATGAAAATTCAGAGAGCAGTTCTGTCACTCTGAAACACATGTAGTTTCCAGTAGCAATCGTTTGTTTTTTTGTTGAATAGGTGCATTGGTTCTTTCGTTCTTCTTTTTTAATTCCTTATACAAAGAACTGATACATCTACTCAGCAGACATCCATCGTGATTGGCCCATCACAGTGCGAGAAATACTGTTGATTTGGTCATTGAATTTCTAAATTGCCTATATACTTTAAAAATGTTAACTGCTCAGTCTGTATAATTAGAGGGAACTTCTCATCAAATAGTTACAGAATTTATGTACTAAATTATTTTGTGTGGCATGTACTATTTTTAAAGAAAGTGTTCATGTTCGCATAGTATGGTCAGCATCTTTGAGTTAAAAGTGTTTTAAGGCTTGAGTAATCGTAGAACAGGACCAAACTCATATACCCTCTAAAAATTGGTGACCTACTGGATATTCATTTATGACATAAAACACTGCTTTTAAAATAGCAATCTTAGGTAATATTGGTGTGTACCACCTTGTGTAGGTCGTTATAGTCCTCTGTCTTTGAGAACAATCTTCCCCATCCCACCAGATCTTGCCTACACTTTTCTACTTTTTGAAAAATTTTATTGGATTTTTTTTTTTTTTTAATAATAGCATCATTGTACATTAAGAATTCAAAGTGAGAGTCTGACAGACTGAAGGTTCTTTAGCAGAGGTCGGGGGAAGAGAGAAAATCTGTTAGTAGTCAAGAAGTTGAGCTTTTTCCAAATGTTTAGGTGTTGATCTTTTCATATTATATTTCTTTAACACCCTGACTTTATATAATTTGGAGATGGGAGCACCCTTAACAGCCATTTATTGCGTCCTTCTACAAAATGCAAGAATTCCTTCTTTGTGGCCATTGCCAGCTTGTTTTCTGCTTGGATATGCTTAGAAATTGAAAGCACTCCAAGCCATCTTGACAGCCTTAATATTTTTAGATTATTTTAAATCTTCTCACCCACTAGAGAATCAGAACTTTACCTAAACAAAACAAAAAACTGCTTCATTTAATTGAACATTTCTTGCTTCTGCTACCTTAGCATTGACTGGTTTCAAAGAGCTGAGCATGGTATTTACTTATTGCCACTAGCGTCTTTGTAATGTACAAAGGAACGCAAAAGTCTTGTTTATGGTCTGGTGGTAGTTCAGTCTGCTTAGGTAAATTAGCATATTTGATTGCATTCTTGTCCCTTTCTGCTGTTGGAAGTAGTAAGTTGAAGTTAGAGGGTAAATGGAAGTGAAAGTTCTGTGTTTAATTTTTGTCTTGGTGTTCTTAAAGCCCTTTGACAAAGCAGAGATAAAGTTATAAACCCTCCGTGCTCCTAATAAAATGAACTTAGACCATATAGTTTTTGATTAGCTATTAAAGAAAAGATAGAGAAACAAAATTTGGATGGATAGATGACGAAAGATTCTTATCTTGGATTTGCTAAATAGATTTATTTATTTATACAGACCCCACAGAATATTTCATTGTCAAATGTGTGTATTTTGTTTTATATAAAATCTTGAATTTTAGGGTGTGTTTAAAAATTATTGTAAGCATATAAAATTAAAGTAAAATACACAATTTTTAAAATTTCTGTAGTAAAGCAAAGTAGTGATTAACATCAGTTGCTCTTTGTCAGATTGTTATGAAAAATGTCACTACCAAAATAATGTGGTGATATAGAAAATGTTTTCCTTGAAGACTTGAGTGTTTTTGGTTTTTTTTGTTTTGTTTTGTTCCGTTTTTTGCTCTAGGAATTTATTGTTCTTTCAATTTTATTGTTATCATTATTAAAGAATATAAATGTAGGGTTATTAAAGAATTGTGCTTTTTCCATTTTGATTTGTTCAGGATTCACTCCTTCTCCAGTTGCCCAGCCACATCCTTCAACTGGCCTTAATGTTGACTTTGAATCTGTATTTGGAAATAAGTCTACAAACGTTATTGTAGATTCTGGCGGTAAGAGAAAAAAATATTTTTCTTCTGGTAACAATATTATAAGAACTTAGAGTCTGTATAGGGAAATATAATGCTACTTTGAACATGTATAAGTAGATAAAGTTGGAGTAGCCAATGAAATTACCCCCAGCCCCACCGAAAGAGAACTCTAGGGAACTACTACTATTAGCCATTTCCCTTCTCCTTTGTGACAGTTATTGATCAAATCTTGGGAGATTTTGTTTCTTACAGAACTAATGAGAGATACAGATTTTGCTCATAAGTTAGAATGCAAAGTCAGTAGTAAATATTTTTAGAATGCCTTTTTAGTCATTATTGAGGAGCCATGGAGATGCTGTGGAGTAAGTGTTACTAGATTGCTAAATGCAAGGTCAGTGGTTCAACCCCAGTAGTCACTCTGCAAGAGAAAGACAGGCTATTTAGTCCCATAAAAATTTATAGCCTTCATTCAGAACCCTACATAAGGTCTCCAAGTGTCAAAATCAACTTGAGTGGGTCAGCCATTATAATTCCTATATTTCCTAAAATAGATAATCTGTTTTAATGTAGGAAACCACCTGATTTTGAAAACTAAGAAATTAGAACTTTTAGCTACATTGACTTGTTAGATGGTATTTCCATAAACACTGGACTGCAGGAACTTTTTCGTGTTTCAAGAATGACTACTATAATGTGCTTATTCAGTTGTATTAAAAGAACTTTATAATTCTTGGATCTAAATTTCTATTTAAATCTTTAGTTAATATATTGTTAATTTGAAATTTGTGAAGATTAATAGTTTCAGTGCTGGCACTCAGTAATTCTACTCATACCTGAAATAGTTATGATTTGGTTAACAATTAAAATTAACCCTTTAAAATAAGAAATGCTTTATAGCATATAACTAAATATCATCCCAAAAGTAAAGAAGCTTTTAAAGACTATGTGTGGATTACAAATTAGACTTTTTTTGTACACTTTATAGGTTTATAATTACATTTTTGAAGCATTTTACTTTTCCCCTTCCAATTTGTCTTTCTGGAAATAGAATCCAGTCAGTCACATTTTGCAAGCTGCCACTTTTGCTGTAATTTTTTATCAAACTCTTTGAACTTAAGCACTTCATTTGTTTATGCATAGGTCATGCTAATAATTCTCCCTACTGGTTGGGTTGGATTTGCTCCTGATAGAGGACCTTAAGGACTTTATTGTATTTTCATTTTCAGACAGTGACCTAATTTACTATCTGGTAATAAGAGAGTAACAGATAATCTCATGGTTCATTTTCACTGCTTTCAGTGCACATGCACCTTACAGCCTCCACTGTGAAGAATATTTTTAAAAAGGTGTATCGGGAGAGGGGAAGGCAGGGAAAAGGAAGTGGGTGTTAACAACCCCAGGGACAAGGAAACAAGTGATTCAAAATCGATGGTGAGGAGGGTATAGGAGTCATGGTAGGGCTTGATCAAGGACAATGTAACCTAGAGGAATTACTGAAACCCAAATGAAGGCCGAGCATGATAGTAGGACAAGAGGAAATAAAAAGAAATAGAGGAATAAACTAGGAGGCAAAGGGCATTTATAGAGGTCTAAATACAGGCACGTACATATGTAACTATATGACAGTGGGGAAATCTATGTGCATATATTTATAGGTTTAGTATTAAGGTAAGCAGATGGACATTGGGCCTCTACTCAAGTACTCCCTCAATGCAAGAACACTTTGTTCTATTAAAGTGGTATTCCATGACCCTCACCTTCCTGACATGATAGCTGAAGACAAAGCGGGTGCATAAGCAAATGTGGTGAAGAAAGCTGATGGAGCCTGGCTATCAAAAGATATAGCATCTGGGGTCTTAAAGGCTTGAAGATAAGTGCTGGCTATCTAGCTCAGAAGCAACAAAGCCCATATGGAAGAAGCACGGCAGCCTGTGTGATCATGAGGTGTCAATGGGATCAGGTATCAGGCATCAAAAAACAAAGAGTCATATGGTTGTGAATGAGGGGGAGTGCAGAGTGGACTTCCAAAGCCCATCTGTAGGCAAGTGAACATCCCCTTATAGATGGATGGCAGGGAGGAGACGAGCCAGTCAGGGTGTGAAATATAGCACCAAAGAAGCATGCAACTTTCCTCTAATTCTTTAATGCTCTCCCCACCCCCACACTATCATGATCCCAATTCTACCTTACAAATCTGGCTAGACCAGAGGATGTACACTGGTACAGATAGGGACTGGAAACACAGGGAATCCAGGATGAACCCCTCAGGCCCAATATGAGAGTAGAGATACCATGAGGTGAAGGGGAAGGTGGGGTAGAAAGGGGGAACCAATCGCAAGGATCTGCATATAACCCCCTCCCTGGGGGACTGACAACAGAAAAGTGGGTGAAGGGAGACATTGGACAGTGTAATACATGGAAAAAAAATTTATACATTATCAAGGGTTCATGAGGTAGGGGGCGGGGGAAATTGAGCCAATACCAAGGGCTCAAATAGAAAATGTTTTGAGAATGATGATGGCAACAAATGTACAAATGTGCTTGACACAGGGATGGATGTATGGAGCCCCCAATAAAATGATTTTTAAAAACCCAAAGGGTGTGTGTCTGTGTGTGTGTGTGTGTGTAATAAAGCAACAGGAACCTTTGGGAAAAAAATGTGTTTTTGAACATCTATATTGCTTCAAATATAAGTGACTGTGAGAAAAATGTTGCTCCCTGAGAGGGAGAATTACATTCCATATTCCCCTTTCTTCCTAGCAGTAAGAATATTTTCTTGGTTGTTTTTCTTTAGATACATTGTAACCATAATGTGTTTGCCATGAGATAAGATGAAAACAGTTCCATGAAAACAGCCAATCTTTTCAATCAGTTTTTTATGGAATGGAGAATTTTTCCTTTTTCCATTTAAGAACATTTACCTGCTGCCCATTTATAAAATAACTTTTCCATTGAGCAAGAAATGAGAAATGGCCGCAGAGACCCATTTTAGGAAGCTGTAGCACCATAAGTTCCTTACAAATCCTATTTCGTCTGTTTGTAACTTTAAGGCTTTGATGAACTAGGTGGACTTCTCAAACCGACAGTGGCCTCTCAGAACCAGAGTCTTCCGGTTGCCAAACTCCCACCTAACAAGTTAGTATCAGATGACCTGGATTCATCCTTAGCCAACCTTGTGGGCAGTAAGTATTCTTTGCATTTTTCCCTTTTTCTTTAAATCATTTGTTTTAGAAAAAATGAGTCTAGTTTTGAAATGCTTTCTTTTTCTCCCGTATTAGATCTTGGCATTGGAAATGGAACCACCAAGAAGTGAGTGTTTTATTGCTCTTCTTTCCCTATGTACACTTCATTTCTTAAATGTAGAGATCTTAATGGTGTAGAGATCTTAAATGCACTATTCTAAATCTTAACTGTATAATGAAGATGTTTTACAACGAAGTGTTTAATGTTCTTACCTATGTTTATTCAAAGCGATGTCAATTGGAGTCAGCCAGGTGAAAAGAAGTTAACTGGAGGATCTAACTGGCAACCAAAGGTTGCACCAACAACTGCTTGGAATGCTGCCACGATGGTGAGTTGGAAAATTCATGATATTCTTCCACATGAAAATGTTTTTAAAGTGAAAGGCATACATGGATTGTTGTTGAGCTTTAGAAATATAAGTAATTTATATTACTTTTCTAGGAATTTTATTGACTATCTGTGAAGCATGTTTTAAAGCTAACATTTATTTGTGGCTTACTACGTGCCCAGTATTGTTCTAATAACAGTGTAGTGCTATCTTATGTAATCTTCAAATTAACCGTATTTGATAGTAATCATCTGCACTTTACAGATGAGAAGACAGAGGCACAGAGCTTTGAAGTAATATGTTTATGGTAGTTGGGTTCTTGAGTCATTGGATGGGTTGCTGGAACCAGACAGCTTAACACCAGAGCATAAGCTCTTGATTACTCCCTTCTCTATATGGCTGGGTTTCAAATTTATTACTTAACCTATATACTCGAGTATAAGGCGGCCCGAATATCAGCCAAGGCTCCTAATTTTACCACAAAAACTGCATTTAAAATGTGCTGAAAAGCACAGCTTGTACAGAAGTATTTTTTTTTAACTTTATTTATTTATTTTTAAAACATTTTATTAAAGGGCTCATACAACTGTTATTGCAATCCATACAACACATCAATTGTGTAAAGCGCATTTGTACATCATTCTCAAAACATTTTCTCTCCACTTAAACCCCCCACATTAGGTTCTCATTTTTCCCCTCCCTCCCTGCTTCCCCCTTCCTCATGAGCCCTTGATAGTTTATAAATTGGTATTTTGTCATATCTTGCCCTGCCCGATGTCTCCTTTCACCCACTTTTCGGTTGTCTGTCCCCCAGGGAGGAGGTCACATATAGTTCCTTATAATAGGTTCCTTCTTTCCTACCCATTCTCCCTCTACCCTCCCTATTTTGCTACTCTAATCTCACTATTGAGATCAATCCAACAAGTCTCCCTGGATCACAGAAAATCTATTTCTTACAGAAAAAATTAAAATGTCTTCTTTTAGTAGTGTACTAGTAGTAGCATTTAGATCACACAGGCTACATATGCCACCCTTTATTTTTGTTGGATCCACACTGTCCTTGTTATAGTCACTTTCTTGTTAAATTCCTTCCAGAGTATTGCCCTATTTTCTCTTAATTGTTAAGTTAGTAAGATTGAGCTAAAACTATAATATACTGATAAATGTTATGTTACCTTATCTAAAGTATTTTATTTGCACCATACCTCACAAATGGGAAATAATATAGACACTTAGCTCCTTTAAGGCAGTAATTATTTACTGGTAGAAGTAAGTATCATTACTAATAATGAAACTTCACATTTAAATAGTTTATACATTTTACATATTATCTTGAACATGTAATTGGTGCACTATTGAGGTGATTTCAGCACATATAATTATCTCAATTTTAAGACATGTTATATAAATTTAAGGTATGTTTCTCCTAAAAGTGAAGCAGCTAAAAAGTAAATTGAAATCCATTTTTTTCTAACATTGAATTCACTGTTTTTCAGTTCTATTACAGTTTCTTGACTTAGGGGATAGTAGGAGATTAGTGGATTTTATAGTCTCAAGTATGAATTATGCACTGACAGTGTGTGAATGATGATATAAATACCCAGACTAATATCTTCTTATTTTATCGTAAATTAGTATTCATGTGAAATATTAATAGTTAATAGACCACTTAATATTGACAGCTAGGAAGGATGGCATTTAATCTTCTAGACTATGTAAGTTGGTGATATAATAGCAGTGTTTATGGTGCTGTGTTGTATATGGCAGTGTCTGTCATCTCTTAATGATTTTGTTAACGTTTCTTTGCATTGTATTTTATAGATTTGCTCTTTAATGGCTAAAGTTTAGGGCTGGTGATGAGATTCACCAGTTAGACAAACTGCTGCCTGTGACATTTCTTTACATTTCTAACCTTTTTATTAATCCTTAAACACTGTCAAGGTTTAAACTCTTTTTGTTTTTAGAATTTAAAACAAATACTTATGATTTTATTAAAATAAATGATACTTTAATACAGATTCTTTTAATAACTTAATTGCTTGCCTTTTCCCTCACCTATGATAGATGCCATTAGATACAACTCTTTTTATGGTATGCATTCGATTGAATTTTTGCACCATTGACGCTGATAGAGTATATATTCTGAAGACACTTGTAATCATTAAACATTGTTCATTGAATGTCCCTGGTTGGTCCACCTTGACAGTGTTTCAATGTAGATGTTCTTTCATTTGATATACCGGAATTACAGAGGATTTTAAGTAGTTAGTGAATGTACATGTGAACTAAAATGCTCTCTGTGTATTTTGTGTTGTGTAAGTACTTGTTCTAATCCAGTGTTATTGCATTATGTAATTGTTCTTCCCTGGGAAAAACAGAATGGCATGCATTTTCCACAATACGTAAGTGACCAAAAACTAGCCTTTTTGCAATAAATTGGCATGCTATTAACCACTGCTATAGCAGAATCTCATAATCTTCCAGCTATTACTTGTTTTTACATTCAGATTTTCAATGTGCCAAAAATTCTTTCTAGCATCTACTGATTTCATGGGTGTGTTTCAGAATTAATTCTGATGGTGGCATGGGAAATACCAGTTTTTTTTTCTTGCTTACTATTCCACCATTGCTGCCAGATGGCTGGGTGTCTGTGTGTGTATCTGTGCTGCCACTGTGCACTGATGACTTCTGAATGGGAAGTGTGGATTGTGACAATGTTTAAAGTAACAACTGCATGAAATCTTACAGGCTTCTGCTATTTTTGGCAGTTTGTCTACTGCTCTTGCAGACTTTGGTTTTTAAGTAGGGAGAGACCAATAAGCCCTACATGCTCCCCCAAATACTAAACTTTTAACTATTCACTTTAGTGTTAATTTTTAAAAGTTATGCTTTATTTAACTTCTTCTCCATGCTCATATTCAAATTGCCACATAATTTCAGTTTTGTTTTTGTTTCTTTTGATGTTTCAACAGTGTTATTGGTCTTTCACCTTTATTGAGTTTCAGCTTTCATTATTATATAGCACACAGGAAATGTTGTTAAGACAGCAAATATATCTAAAATAATTTTGTGTTCAGATAATTCATTAAAAAAAGAAATAATACCTATTGATCAAGTCAGTTCCAACTGATAGCAATCCTATTACAGATGATGAATTAAAGCAAGAGGAAGAGGGGAGCTTAAACATCTCAGTGACTGATGGTTCTTTTAAGCTTTAAGGCATGAGCTGACCTTAAAATTTAATACCCTCTTTCAAATTAGTGCTGCACAGAAAATAGTTCCATTTCTATGAAATTAAAAGGAAAGCTAACTTATAAACTCTTTGTATGAGGATTATTATTCATAGAAATAATTTATTCAGTAGTGGTTTAAATCATTGAGCTTTGAAAAGTGAATGAGATCCTTAGAAATTAACTTCTTAGAAGACTAGGTTATAAATTGATTTAGGATTTAAAATTTTTTCTTTGAATGCTTAAGAAATGAAGTACCAAGAAAATACTCAATATTTTTTTTCTTGGCAAACATTCTTTGTGTTATTGGTAGACTATACATTTTAGAGCTTTGAATTTTTTTTTAAGTCTGAAAATTTTTGATGCTCTAAAAACTCAATGAAATCCTGTGTAACTGTTTAAAGTGATATTTTTCCTTTCTAATAATTTTCTGCTTATTTAAATTGTTTCCCCCATTGGACATTAATTGACCATTATTAATGATCACAAGTGCTACTTAATCACAGCTGTCTTAGCAATTCTTTTTAGTGGAACTACAGCTTTTGATTCCTTCAATTCAATATAAACACATAAGTTATACTTCCTTGTTTGTTTTTTCATTCACTATGTCAGGCACCCCCAGTCATGGCCTATCCTGCTACTACACCAACAGGCATGATAGGATATGGAATTGTAAGTATATTTTTAGTTTTAAAAAATGTTTTCATTTATATTTATAATGTTCTTATTATAAGCATAACTGGAAGAATGTATTCCCCCTTGTGCCTAATAGAGTTTCTAGTATGATAATAGTTACATTAATATTCCTAGAATAATTGTTACACAGTATATGTAACTTAATTAAATACACAATATTACTTGGTTTATTTTTTTGCCTAGCACTTTTTTGCTAGGCATTTTATGATAACAAACTCATTTAAGTGCTGTAAGAGTTGTGCAGTGGTGGCACCTGACTTCACAAAGGTGAAGAAGAATCAAACTCAACATGAGCCCAAGGCCAATTCCTATGAGGGGGAGATCATGCCTTCACCCTCCAACCTTCTTTACCAATTCGGGTACCAGCTGCCCCTCCCATTACACTCTATTTCATTGCAATCGCCACACAGGAACTCACAGCCGATACAATTAATGGCCTCATTTGGGGGAAGTAAACAGATTATAATTCAGGATAAAAAACACACAGGATACAGTTTTTTTTTTTTGGTCAGTACAGTCTCTTTTCAGTTGTTCTTGCTTGTACAACTCTCTCGTCTAGCCACATGACCTCTTTGCTTCTATTCTGCTTAGGCAGTGTTATAAAATTCTCTTTACTGCTTCCAATAAATGCCAACTCAGCCATAAGCTTTAGCCCAAGGCGCTCATCTCTAATGCCATGGACCAGAAAACCTAGCTCCCCTGTTAAGCACCTAGAGACAGTCCACGCCATTAAGGGAACCTCTTCAGTGACATTGGAACTTTCTTGCTCCACGGGCTGAGAATGTGGGCTCACTGTTCTGTCGGGAACTCGTGGTGCTACACCCTCTGGAAGGCACGGCTCTGTGTCTTGGTTCAATACACAAGGATCTTAGGGTCAGACGTTGGGTTCTACTCCTAGTTCTTATTTTCTTTTGGTTGTGAGATCCTCCAGCCTCACTTCTGAGATGGCTCCTTGGAAATCCAGCAGGATTGCAGACTGATATATCTCTTTAGATTTCCATATACCTTCTTTACAGATAACCACCCAGCCCCACACCAGTCACTGTGTGGGAGACTATTGCTAGAAGAGCCATAATCAATATTCACAGCACCAGTAGAGTTAATATTAATTCTGAGCCTTTGTTGGTTTGACTATAAATTTAATACCTGTAAGGTTTGTATAATCATAATAAACTATAGTGGGAAAGAGGTTCTCACTTCTTGAATTCCTTAGCAGTAAATTTAGCTAGTAAAAGCCATTTCTCCTGTGATTTTATAGGACAAAAGCAGCCTGTTAACCTCTAGGCTCCTATAATCTGCAGTCTAGACGGGTTTTACAAGTCTTTTTCTATACAGACTTACTTAGATACGAAGTCAAAGTAGTGACTTCATCCAACTGGTTCATCAGGGAGGAAATATTTGCTCATTGAAGGCATCACACTGCTCCTTGATTTTGCTACTATGGCTCCTTGCACCAGTGTAAGTTTCATGGTTTATAACTTGCTTGGTATCCCTTACATAAAAATGGAGTCTATGTAAAAATTCAGACCGTAAACCTAAAGTGAAGTTCTCATCTGTTTTTAAGCTTAGTTGCTAGAGAATTTCTAGGGCTGCAGGCCTAGGGTCCAGGGTCCTTCATCTACTTGGAAGAAATTGGTTTGTGTTAAAGAAGAAAAGTGAACTGTAGCAATATCAACTTTTTGAATAGTATTATAAAGAAATTAATCTTGTCCACAAAGTAATTTTAGCATTACAAATAAATACACATATCTGAAATTTAAGATCTAAAGAACCATTCATCTGTAGTTAGTGAGATTTAGAATTGGCTAAATTAGCATCCATATATTATTCTTTCCATGTTATCCCAAGAAGAGTTTAAATCTTTCTGTGTCTTTGACTAGAAGTCATACTTAGTTACTTACACGGCCACTATAATCTTGAATTATTGAATTCCATAACACTGCAGATAACAGGATCACTATGAGTCGAAATGGCAGGAAGTTTAGTTTGGTTATGGGAGCCTACTTGATAGACTAAATATAACATGTATTTTGTATGCTGGAGTGGTGACTTTTTAACGAACATATTGATTGACATTCTATTTTCAGTTATTCAGAAATTTGTAATCTAAGCCCCTTTTTGGTTCTTCATAAAAATAACTGATTGAATCATCAAGAGTAAACATCTCCAAAGAGCCAGATATCTTTATATGTAATCCTTCCATAATGGATTAAGAACTTGATTTGATATGTAAAGACAATGTCCTTTAAGTACCTTAGAGTTCTATACTTCTTCTAAGTTTTCTCTTTGTTTAAAGTTGGCAAATTTGGGAATTTTCGAAGATTTTCATCGAAATTATTTTGTATGCTGTTATAAAGTTTAAAGTTTGTAATTCATCAAATAGGGTTACTTATTAGACTGTGTTACATCCTTTTTTTAAAATGACCATAGTAAATATTTTTCTTGAGAAACAAAAAGCTTATGCCTGGGTTTGGATTTTTATGGCAGGCCCAACCCCGTGGCCTCTCATAGTGTCCCCCCTCCAAGAACATAAACTGTAGACCCGGACCATTGCCGTATTGCCTTCCAGCCCATACATCGGCTTAGGCCCTGAAGTGGGTTGTACAATGGGGGGACCTTCGGAAAATGTTTGGCTCTGAGTCTTTCATTCAAAGAAATTTTTCCTTTGGGTCAAAGCAGAGATCCCGTGGTTTTCATTCTAGTTATCCTTATGTATTTACTACTAGGAAGCACTGAGTTGATACCCTTTAACTTGGTATTCTTTCATTTTTTTAGCCTCCTCAAATGGGAACTGTACCAGTAATGACACAACCAACCTTAATCTATAGCCAGCCTGTCATGAGACCACCAAACCCCTTTGGCCCTGTATCAGGAGCACAGGTATTACATGCTACATGTAGCTGTTTCAGTGCATTTGATGATTTAGAAGGAATAATACTGGAAAATTCTTTTATATGATTTTACAAACAATTTTCTTCTTTGTGCTAAATGTTACTTAATGTCTCACACAAATGTTTTAAGAACATTGGTCATTTGGAGGGAAAGAACAAGCAAATTTAACATTTTAAATATGGAAAGTTTGTGATGATTTATAATTGGTGGACCTTATACTTTTATAAGGTTAAGAAATTTGCTTTTGAAATAGAGGAAAGAACCTGGAGGCAAAAGACATTTATAGAGGCCTAAATATAGGCATGTACATATATAAGTATAAATATAACGAGAGGGGAACAGAATTATGTACTCATATCTATATGTTAAGAATTAAGGTTACAGATGGACATTGGGCCTCAACTCAAGTACTTCCTTAACACAAGAACATTTTGTTCTAACAATCTGGCATTCTGTGGTACTCACTTTTCAAACACAATCACTGAAGACAAAGCGGGTGCCTAAACAAATGTGGTGAAGAAAGCTCATGGTTCCTGGCTATCAAAAGATAAAGTTTCTAGGGTCTTAAAGGCTTGAAGATAAGCAAGCAGCCATCTAGCTCAGAAGCAACAAAGCCCTTGTGGAAGAAGCACAGCAGCCTCTGTGATCATGAGGTCGATGGGATCAGGTATCAGGCATCTAAGACCCAGAATAAAACCATACCCAATGTGAATGGGGGGCGGCATGGAGTGGAGAACCAATGCCCATCTGTAGACAATTGGACATCCCCTCACAGAGGGGTCACAGGGAAGAGATGAACCAGTCAGGGTGTAGTATAGCACCGATGAAACACACACCTTTCCTGTAGCTCTTTGGTGCTTCCTTCACTCCACTATTATGATCTCAATTCTACCTTACAAATCAGATTAGACCAGAGCATGCACACTGCTACAGATAAGAGCCCGAAACACAGCAAATCCAGGATAGATAAACCCCTTAGGGCCAACAAGTAGAGTAGAGATACCAGGAGGATTAGGGGTGGTGGGAGGAGAAAGGGAGAATCCATCACAAGGATCAACTAGAACCCCCTCCCAGGGGGACAAATAATGGAAAAATGGGTGAGGGGCGACGGAGGATGACGTTAAGATGTGGAAAAAATTATAACATCAAGGGAGAGGGAGGGAGGGAGGTAAGGCAGGGGTGGGAGGGGGAAGAAATGGGGAGCTGATATCAGGGGCTCAAGTGGGAAAAGAATACTTTGAAAACCATGATAGCGGCATATGTGCAAATGTGCTTCACACATTGGTGGAATGTATGGATTGTGATAAGAGATGTAAGAGCCCCCAATAAAAGTATTTTTTTTAAAAAGAAGTAAATGTTTAGAAAATAATGATGGTAACATGTACAAATATGCTTGATACAATTGATGTATGGATTGTTATACTATCTGTAAGAGCCCCCAATAAAGTGATCTTAAAAACAAACAAAACAACAACAACAAAGAAATTTGCTTTTTCTGTTCCCGGGTTGTTTGCCCTAGAAACCATTAACTCAGAGCTCTAGCTCCTTGGCCAGCCGTCTGAATGATGTTATAACAAGAATGTTACCCTTGCGATGTTTGTGAAGGTATATTAACAAGTCTCCAAAAAGTTGTGAATGTTAGTTTTTCGTTAGATAACTTTTTGCTACTGATAATTGTGTGCTATAAAACAAAAATTGAAATTCTTGAAACTGTGGCGATTTAATTTCTTTCATTGGCAGGCTTTAGGTGTTTCTCAGACTCCTTCACTAAATATCCCGTTTGCTTTTCAGTTTCATCCAGCCGCTTTTGGAGGGTGTACTGGGGGAGTCTGGATTGTCTTTGTTCTTTGTTTTTAAGTGCTTACTAATTCTGATTAGGAGAGAAGACATGCCATTGCTTCATCGCTTCTCTAGTGTCTTTACATGATGTGAGACCCTTTTGAAGTGATGGGGTGACTTACTGTTATCTGTGCCGCTACTCATTTACAGTTAGAAATGTACATTAACATTATTGACAGTTACATTATTTACATTATTTACTCATTAATTACATGCAGCTATAAAAACACCGCTCCTGTTTCATTCTTCTGGGTTTTTTTAACCCTTTTCTCAAATTAAGGAGCCCTGTTTGCACAGTGGGTTGGGTTCCCAACCACAAAGCCTACAGGTTGGAACCCTCAGTCATTCCGAAGGAGAGATGAGCCTCTCTGCTCCCCAAATATTGACTGCCTCAAAAACCTGCACGGGAAATTCTATCCTGCCCTATAAAGTCATTGTGATTTCAGAATCAACTTATTGATGTGAGAGAGTGAATGAGTTTCTCAAATGGCTTCTGATGCAGCTGGTTGGTTTTATTTTATGTATTAAATATTTATTTGAAAATGTGTGAACATTTGGAAATGCATATAGCATCTTAGAATGCATGTAGTATGACATTAACCATTGAATTACTGTTGCATTGCCACAATTTGTATTGACATTGTTTGATTATATTCTCTCTATATTTTATAGATTCGAGGAACATAGGGACTCGGTTTTCAGCCTTTAGAAAATTTGTTTATGTACAGTAGAAGATAGATCAATTCAACAATTTTTACTTGTACAATTCAGTCTCTGATTAATGAAGTCATTTAATTGGCCTTTCTTTTTTTTTTTTTTTTAATTGTCCTTTCTGTGCCTGGCAATGGATAGTAAATTTAATTATGATAGCTTTTACAATAAACATAATTGAAGTCAGAATAATTAGTGTTTTTATATCAATTTCTTATCATTTACTTTTCTAAAATAGAGAATTTATAATTACCCTTTTTTCGGGTGACATTAGTTTTACTTGTTTAACTTGATTTCAAAAATTAGAGTTAATAATCTTTTTTAAAGAACATTGATGATTTCCCTACCTATCAGTATAGCTGTTTTCATGAGACTGTACAATTAGAAGCTCTCTTCACATCTTTCAGTTTATTCTTTGGTGTTCATTCTTTCAACTTCAGAGCGTCATTTATTTTCATAAATTAATGTGATTTTATGCTTTAAGGAAGTAAGTCATAAGAACTTTAATGTCATTAAGAAGAAAGCTATAGTCCGCAGCTGTAAACTGAATAGGACCCTCTGACAGAAGTTCTTCCTAAGCCCTGCACCCAGTATTCCAGGATCCTGCCTCATTAACAAGTCTCTTACTGCATACTTGGATCTAACAGTTTCCAGTTATTTCACATCTGTTATCTCACCTGATTCTCAAAACAATCTTTTAGGTAGATAGGTGGAATTAGAATCACCATTCTCTGTTGTGGGGTTAAGGGGAGAGGGGATCCCCCACAAATCATCACAGGTCTGGTAGGCGCAATTGTACAGCGATAACAGGTAAAGATTATAGTATAGTCATAGAGAGCATGAGAGTTAAGAGATAGAGTCAAGTAATGGAGTCAGACACAATTCATGGTAGGATTGCTCACCTCAGCCCCGCTTGGTGAACTGAGAACCGGGGAGCCTTTTGGGCCTCCGGGAGCCAGAGAGGGCTCCGGGAAGCCAGGACCGGGGAGAGCCCTTCTTCATTGCTAACCAATCGTTCTGTCACTTTAGGGGGACATGATTACAGAATCACATCACAGGAAGGGGCAGTACAATAGGCATACACATTGTAGGAAGGGGATCTGTGATAGGCATAAGCGTAACAGGAAGGGGTTGAGCTAGGGGTGTGCCCATAGGAATGGGAAGGTCTAGGGTTATACATGTGACAAGATGGGCAGACCCTAGATTCATGGCAGCCTAACCTTGGTCATCCTTGGGCGGGTTTGACCTCTCTGGTGTCTCCTACAAGGAAGGGCGTAGGCTCTACTTGTGGGATAAACAGTGGTGTCTGCTTGCTCCAGATGTCTGATAGCTCTTAGGGAGAATGACCCCTAATCTACTCCTGATGACCTCCAAGTATATAGTCATTCTGAAGCAGCTAAGAGTGGCATATATTTGGGGGAGACAGCTTGAGAGAAATCCTTCTGTTTCCCACGCTCTGTTACAGATGGAGAAAAATGAGACTTGGAAATGTTTCTCAAATACGTAACTGTTGGAATAACAATTAATTCCCAGTATTCCGGGCTCCTTGACCAATGCTCATTTGGATTACACTGCCCCTCTATCAAAGGGACAGAGTACAGATGACTGTTAAAGCACTTTTCCTGTTGTCAGCAGTGAAATGCTCTAAATTTCTTGGGCTTTCCTAATGAATTATAAATGAGTATTTACACCTTTAAGATATGATTGTTGGATAATATCTTCAACCTTGAAACATATAAGAATGAGTTTTTTATTTATATGGTTAAAAACATTCTTAGTAAAAATATTCCTTTAAAACAATTTCTGGCCATCAGCATCTGCTCTTTTTTTTTTTTTTAATTGTTTTATTAGGGGCTCATACAACTCCTACCACAATCCATACATAATCAATAGTGTAAAACACATTTGTACATTCATTGCCCTCATCATTCTCAAAATATTTGCTCTCCACTTAAGCCCCTGGCATCAGCTCCTCATTTTTTCCCCTCCCTCCCCACTCCCCCCTCCCTCACGAACCCTTTATGATTTATAAATTATTATTTTGTCATATCTTGCCCTGTCTGACATCACCCTTCACCCACTTTTCTGTTGTCCGTCCCCCAGGGAGGAGGTCACATGTAAATCCTTGTAGTCGGTTCCCCCTTTCCAACCCACCTTCCCTCAACATCTGCTCTTAACCCAGGTTTTATATACTCTGAAACACAACCTTTTCACATGTACACGTACAACACACATGTACACTCACACACAGTGTATGGGTGCATAAACAGAACCAGTGGCTAAGATGCTTTTTCCTCTCTAGTTACTTTATTCCAGAAGAGAATGAGAGCATACAAGTCTATAGTTGAATGGTCACGTTTAAAGTGGACATGTTGTATAACCAAGTCAGCTCCAGCTCATAGTGACCTTGTTACAGTAGAGGAGTTCTGTGTCCTCCT